CTATAAATAAATAAGATTCCCGTGAGAGTACATGAGATAAAAAAAATATTTTACTTTCCTGACTCAAATTCAATTGAATAATTTAGCCGTTTAACAATATTTGTACGGGTAACAATGGAGTTTGTTAATGCTTCCGAAAATATTTTTGTGCATTGTTCCAGGTAACGTGAGACATGACAATTATGACGTTTAAGTTAGTTACCCTCTAACAGATTTTTTAATGTAAATGAGTGGCATTATGAGCATTTGATCTGACTGATTAGGCCTTCACCATGACCAGAAACACTGAAGCAATACCAGTATCACTTAATTTTTCAATTCAACATTTATTGCAGACCATAAATTGAGAAGCAACTAAGCATCGCCTAACCTGACCTCGTCCTGCTGCTTTATGGAGTTCCGGCTATCTTAGGAACACAACGAAACAGAAAAGAACAATTTTAGTCTGGTCAGACGAGGAGAGGGTTTTCACTTCTCTCCTGCGTTGTTGATGTTCCATGATTTGCTCCCACGTTTTCTATCTATTTATTTACGTCACGATTATGAGCATGAACGACATCATATATAGTGTCGCGGATGCCAAAAGTCCCTGAATCGTGAAGGAAATTTCCTCTCAGGACAGCTTACTGACTCAAAGCAAAAGAAGTGTAAACATTTGACCCCCGAAAATTAATAAAAAAGCTCATTATATGGAAGTAAATATTCTCAGATAACGTTGTGTAAGTTTATGAAAAAGAGAAGACGTTTCAAAAGATTTGACCGAAGATTCGAACATCGACGACCTCCGTGGCCGAGTGGTTTGTACGCCGGGTTTCATGGTGTCGCCGACTCGAGAGATTCCCGAATTCGAATCCCGGTGGGGGCAGATGTTTGTGTGATGAATACAAGTAATTGTTATCAAGTTATGGATGTTTAATATGTATTTCTGTATAAATACTTGTATATGTACAGTATATGTATTCTATTCGTTACCCTAGCATCCCATAACACAAGCCTTACAATGCTTACTTTGGAGCTAGGCTAATTGGTGTAAGTGTTGGAAATATTTATTTATTTTATTTATTAAAAGAGATTACTGGGTCCATTTCTTTAAATCGCAACACAAAGTGAAATCGCTGTGGGCGTTGCTGCCCCTAGTCACATGAGTATTTTTTTATTGGGGACTTCCGCGTACTTTTGTCCTGTCCGATCCTGTTGGTGTCGTCGGTTTTTCGGGGTACTTTTTGTACGCGGTACTGTTAATCCGTTGTGTGAGTTCCTCGATACAATTGTACGCAATCTATTTCGACGGGCAAAACGGTCGTCTGTGCAAGTTCAAAAAATGTGGAGTGACTTGCACGAGTTTGTATTTTCCGATCGTTATTATTAGGGTGTCTTCAAAACAAGTCAGCAGGCTTTTACTGCCTGCGCGTGTTCCGTTTGAGTATCCATTCTCGCTTTCCAACAGGCGAAATCGGAAACAAATGCGCAAAGTTTGACGACCTCTGTGGCAGAGTGGTATAAATACAGTTTTTCAAGTTGTGAAGGTTCGTACAAGCTAAGCCCGATGATCATGTTATCTTAAAATAAAAAACCGTGAAGATAGGACACAATAAATTTATTCTTCGGAAATACAAATTCACACATAAATAAATATTTTACTTATTCACAAAATTAAAACATGACAAGAAGTAACAGAAAATATCACCATGACAACGAACAGAAAAAAATAAAGTATTTCTATTCAAAAAACCTTACCGGCCAGTCACTGCTTGTTACAACCTCAACATAAGGTCGCCCTTTCTGAAGGCCTGAGTTCGAATCCCGGTTAGGCAAATCTTTGTATGGTGAATACGCGTATTTGTACCTTGTAAATATTTTTTCTATCCGTTACCCTAATATCTCACAGCACATACAGTGCAATCTGGACTAGATAGCTAAGCCAATTGGTATGAGTGTTGGGAATATTAATTTATTAGTTACCATTAAAGGTCACGTTATATTTGCTGGGAATCAAACCCCCTTTATGATTAAAAGACAGTCAAAAATCTGTAAGTTGTTCTGTCTTTTAAGTTTTCTCTATCAAAATTTCACATTTTATGTGTTATTTGCAATACAATACATACGCAATCTGTCAATCGTAATTTTTCCCGCGCACCGCACGCACGCGCTTCTCTGCGACAGCGCATTGTCTCCAGCGCCACTCTGATTACCTAATTGCATCTCAATTATGATACTAACAATCGTATCACGTAGTAAATAACTATTCATAATTAATAACAGAAACGTGACGCCACGTAGGATCATTATTTAAAAAAACTTCATTAAAAAAATACCCAGTTCTGTTAAACAAAGAGTACTTGAAAGCTTGAGTGAATTTTGACAAAACATTAAGTATATAAAGATTTTGATAAAAAAAAATAGAAAAAGGCTAATTGATAAAACAGCAGTCTCAACGACCGATTACCACACAAGGATATGACTATGAATATTGTGAAAGATGATTATCATTAAGCTGTTAAGTCAAGGACTAACATATGTCAAAATATGCATATGTATAAAAGAAATCATTCCAATCACCATTTGCATCAAACATGAATGAAAATAGATGCTTTTAATAAAAATTAACTAGGTTCTAGTATCATTTTTGTTGTAATTACATATTATAGAAATGTGTTAGACCATCTTTATCACTTAGCTGTATAAAAAAAAAATTATCCTATTTTCAGGCCTACTAAAATGCAGGCATAATATACACACAAAATTTCTTAAAAACTCTGACACGATAATTTTATATAGGAATTAGATTTCCGTAACAAATATAAATAAAGACGTAAAAACGATTTGAGTAGTGAATCAATTCCGGATAGTTTCTTCTATGGCAAAAAAAGGTGTATATAAACAACCATGTGTCAGGATAAAACACTACCGCGATTCTAATCCAGTACCCCAAACACGAATTTTCACAAATCTGTAATCGTATTGCCATCGTCATACTTTCTATGGGAATTAATCAGCGCCCCTAGCGGACGTAAGGACAGACTAGCTCCTTCCAAAGAAACTTTGAAGATTGCGATACAGATATACAGATACAGAGTCAAAGGTTCGTGCTTGAGGTATAGGACTCTAGGTTTCATGTTATAACGACTCGATAATCATGTAATGGGGACTTTAACAGCGTTTGTGACATTACAATTTTACGTGACCCACGGTTTCCTAGTTGCTTAGAATAAATTAAACATCGTTTCTCACATTATGACGGCACTTCCACTTATCTGCAGTTCCCAGATGAGCTGCGTACGCGCTGATTTAATTAAATTATAAAATTAATTAGTATTCTCAACGAAAAAACATTACCATTAAATCGTGTGTACGTTTAAGTGAATTGTTTGATGTGTTGAATATTGAATACATTTGTTTGTGTTTGCTATTTTTTGTCCTTCGCTATTTTACTAAAGTATTTGGGGAACTTGTACTAATGTTGGCCCTCTTGCTTTTACACTTAAATATAAAGAAAATATAATTAAAAAACCTGAACACCATATCTTCTTATTATTCTTTGATAGCATTTCTTTTATTTTCAGTAGAAGCTTGAGTGCTACAAAGTCACCGGGTCTTATATGCTACGCAGCAGGCAGCATGTTAAGGCAGCTTTAATGATGTCATTAAAGGATAGGTGCTTTAAACACTTTTTATAAAAAATGTTTAATTTTATCGATATAATTACTAAAATATAACAAATCCACAGATAAAAAATGTATTTTAGCAAAATTTCACCTCAAGTTCAACAAAAAACATTTGAAACTTTTTCTGTTGAGTTTGAAATACATATTAATTTTAAAGTCGTTTTATTTGATACCTAAAACCATATTCAACCACATTGTTAAACTATAGTAATCATTAAAACTAATAATTAATTTACTAGGTACAGACAAACAAATTGAGGATTCCGCTTAAAGGGTCAATCATTCGATCCTAATTAGGCTACGTGTAGATGTTTCTTACGTTTTCTAATGCTTTACGACATATTTGAGATCATAGAAATATAATTATATAGGTGACCCTCTACACTACAGTCTGTAGATAGACCCTCTACCGTCTATTTACTAAGCGGTATTGACAGAAAGTCATAGCCTAACTGTAAAAAAAAACTTCTCGTAACAAACTGTGATTTTTTAAATTGGAACTCTGCCCGAATACAACTTTTAAAATAGCCTGCTAAGACTTAAATTTTCCATTAATCCTTTGAATAATTTATAAAAAATTTTGACCTTCCTCATAAATCCTAATCACACTCATTGCCATTCATTTTATTTGCCAAAACAACCAGCACTAGCTGGGAAAAAAGCTTATGTGCAAGAATCTAAGTGTATAAGCAAGTTAACATCAGTAAGGTCAATAAAACCAATAGTTAAAATTAGAAATAGCAAAACGAAGAAAGTCATCGACATTTTTGAAATGTGGTTATTTATAATAATCACATAACAATCACGAACATAATAATTTATTATGTTAGTAATTAATTTTCGAGAGTTTTCAGGGTTATAAAATTTGCCGTGTAATGTTACAGGTTCCTACTATGTATGAATGGTAAAAATAAAGAAATATTAATGTTTTATTTGAAGTAAGTGATAATATTGTTTTTTTTAATAAAAAAAATGATACGTACTTTATTAGAAAACACAAAGAGGTTTATCAGTCCGCCTATAGGTCTTTTTTTCAGATCCGTGCCTATAGGTACACAAACGCATACCGCGTAGGTATTTTGTAATTAATATGATTATTAGTTGGTGGGTGGGTATATTGATTTCTTTCTGCCTGCATGATATTTATTTTATTTATTTTGTACCTACACACATAACATAATATTTGAGAAGTAGTGGTAGTAGAGGTAGTGGCACAAATGTCAAAAATAATCAAATAAAATTAAAATACTTTTTAAACTGAATCCACATAACAAAGTGCATTGAGGTACCTTCGAATTACGTGAAAAATATTTTCTATACGAAAATAAAGCTTACCTTGTACTTCATACTGAGATTTTAGAATTCCTACTACAAAAACAACACTGGCACAGAGTAAAATTAAAGAAATATATTATTAAAGATCGTCTCTGTTCGAAATTCAAAACTCGCAACTTTTCCCGATGTTTGGTGCACGTGTTTCCCGCGCTAGGACCGCGAGTGGCCGCGCATGCGTACGGTGCGGCGACGCGGTAATGGCAGCGCGGCACCCGGCGCTTCGCTTTTGCTGCCCCGCCACTGCATCGATGCGGCAACGCAACGGCGACGTAGGACAGCTTCCGAGTGAGTGCACTGACGGACTACGAAGGTGAAGGTAAGCCAAAGGTGCCGCCCGAAATGGTTTCGATGCGTTCCCACTGAATAGGTATTGCAAATTGTTTGCCAATATTTTAAGTCTGAATAAGACGATTTACGCTTAAGCAAATTGTTTTGTTGCAACTTCCCCATATTACCTCAAAATTACTCGCTCTCAATTGAAGAGAAGTCTTCATAAACGAGTTTAAGTTTGAAGGAATAATTAAGTTGTAAATGTATCTAAAATGTAAGCTTCCCATACTTCAAGGATAAACTGAAATTTCACCAGAAAATTACAGTTGAGTTTAGATTTCCTAGAAGGAAATTACAATCACTTTACGCAGTACTTAATACTACGTGCCATGAATATTGTTGTCCTTAATGGGACAACAGTTTTTTTGACGCACTCCACTTATCTTTAACACGTGGGGACGTAGTGTCTGTACTTTTAATCCCTGGTTCGAATCACGGTGGGGGCAGATGTTTGTGTAATGACTACTGCAGTCATGATGTTAATATCTATTTATATATAAATATTACTGTTACCCTAGTATCCCATAACACAAGCCTACAGTGCTTACTCTGGGGCTAGGCTAATTGGTGTGTGTGGTGTGCGTTGAAAATATTTATTTATTTATTTAAACTTCTCGAGCACAGCCGCAGACAACTACACAGTGCAGAAGACGGTTTTGTATGTAAAATTGTTCCTTGTCTATGTTTGATGTTCAAGACGTTTGCCGGGGTGTATACTCACTGATTTCCCATAATGGAACTAGCCTGGTAGCTAGTGATGGTTGCCACACATTAAGTATATAATGAGATATAAAGAGAGTAGAGCATGACGAATTTTCCGCTCGAATTGGAGCAGCCGTCTTTAGAAGTAACCTACACCTTGCAGCAGGTCACAGTAAAATAACACTATCTTTAGGTGGTGTTGCGTTTCTATCGTGAGGTTCCAGACTTTCCGCTTTAATAAGAGTGCCCACATGTTATAGTAGACCACAGTAAAATATCACTACTATTTTTTTTATGTTCATACTTATTCCTGAAAAAAAAACATCGTTTTCAGACGGTTTTTTCAAGAATAAGTATGAACGTAAAAAAAAAATTCAATCCGACCAGGCAGCAGGCGCTATAAAAGTATTTATTAAAAAGAAAATGTGTTCAATGAAACGTACTAGGGATTGAAGTATGTTTGTAAGTCGAACTAGACCAGGGATATGGAAAGGATTAGTCACATTGGGTGGCACTGTATAACTGATCGCACTGAAGAGCATTAGGTACTCACCAACAAAAAGACAAAAATATAGTTCTATTCCACTGCAGTCTACTATAAAAAGCGGGCACTCTTATTAAAGCGGAAAGTCTGGACGTCACAAACAAAAACACAACACCACCAAAAGTTCTATCTTTGTTATAATTTTTATTTTTAAGCATGTAACTGCTTGATGTATCTAAAAAAAACATTATTAGAAAAAAAATCCACGCGGACTAGGCAGCAGACGGGATTCGAACCCGCACCCTTCGCTATCCGGGAGAATGCACTGGCCATTATGCTATCGCGGGCCTGATGGCCGTGTCGAATTCTTTCTAGCCTTTCTTAAGCTGCAAGGCAGCGCCATTTCTTCGCATTGTAGGTAACTCACAATTCTATTTTGTGTTTAATCTATCTAAAAAAAATGACTGATTAGTATACGTCTCGTCTCATCATAATTTAAAATTTAAAATTATTTACAACAGCAATTGGAAAAAGGTGCCCTGTATATTTGTAGCCCAGACTTTTCTGCGCGTCCCTGCATGTGGGCAAGATATATGATGTTATATGCCTGGCTTTTATAAACATAAAATAAGACTGAAAATTTTCTGTCATTGTTGATGTTGGCTGTTTCCAAGGACGCCTCATAGAGCCTCTTCTGTTGCTAGGCGCCCATCATTACAAAGCCAATAGGAGGCTCGAAGTTGTTCCAGCAGCCTAGCAACGAACGTGTGGTGACTGGTGACGTCCGAGGATGACGTGCCGAATCAATATAAAAATGACATTATGAAATAGTTTGTTGTGTTGGGATTATTATTTAAGTGTTCATGTTTATTTCGTATGCCTTTTTGTTTTTTTAGTGTTATTATTCGTCTTGACGCTATCTCTTTCACATGTCTGCAAATCCAATCCCTGGCAGTGACGACGTGCAACTAGTTCAGTGTACTAAGTGCTCCCAACCTCGGTTTTTTAAAGGAAACCGAGGCTTAAATATACACATTGTAAGGGTTCATAAATCCCCTGCCTCTGTGCCAGCAGTATCTCCATCTTCAAATTCCAACCAACCTCTTTGGCAAATTCTTGGCAATCTAAAAAGTTCACTTCCTGTTTTAAAAAGAATTCCACGTTCTGCACGGCTTTCAGTCGCTTATTCTTTATCACAATGCACTGAGCATGTGGTAAGAGTAAACACGTCTGAGAGCTGGGCAGAACTCCTAACGTTCAGCTATAGAATTTTACATGTTAATCAAAACAGTATTTACACTTCATTGACGCAAAAAGTAAAGGAGAACTGCCGCTTAAATCCGTCGGTTTATTCTCTTGTTTCCTCCCTCTCGGCCTCCAAATTCAAATAAATCCGTAAAACTTATAGAATCTAAAATTAGCGATGGTGATCTCCGAGGAGCTGCCAACCTCCTATTCAGAAACGATGTTGTCGCCGTCAACTGCCAGAAGACACTTAGTGCTCTTGAAGACAAGCACCCACCTCCAGCACCAAATCTGCTTCTACGCCACCTGATCCAACACATGCTCAGTTCATAACTAAAGATAAGCAAATTTTAAATGCGATATTCTCTTTCAAAAGTGACTCTGCCAGTGGTCTAGATGGGCTTTCTCCACAACATTAAAAAGACCTTCTTTGCGTCTCTGTCGGTGACGCTGGCAGAGTCTTATTACATAATATCACTCTTCTGGTTAATTTGATGCTCTCCGGCGAAGTTCCTGAAAATATTGCTGATATCTTTTACGGGGCCAACTTAATTGCTTTAAAGAAAAAAGATGGTGGTATTTGCGTATGGAGCTCTTGTCGCAGTCAACGTGCCAGCGGTCCTTGAGCCTAGCGGCATCTTTCGTGACGATGGCAAGAGACCTGACGGAATGACGCTCATTCCGTGGAAGCAGGGTCGCCCTCTTGTGTGGGACGCAACTTGCGCGGATGCGCTTGCTCCGTGCCACACAGGGAGCACCTCCCTTGCTGCGGGTGCGGCGGCGGCCTCTGCTGAATGCTCCAAAAGGCGCAAATATTCAGCTCTCAATGAGAACTACATATTTGTGCCGTTTGGTGTTGAGACCATGGGCCCAAGCGCTCGTTCCTTTTTTAAGGAAATATCAAAGAGACTCACCGAAGTTACTGGTGATCATAAGGCTGGCAGCTATCTTGGACAACGGATCAGCCTTGCCATTCAACGTGGCAATGCTGCCAGCCTATTGGGCACCATCCCTGACAGCGGCGCTGGAGTGACTTATTTTTTATTTTGTAAATAAGATGTTATTTATAAGTAGGTTAAGGTAATTTATATTTAAATATTATTGATTTTCTGTACATATATAATTAAATTTAACATCTATCTAAGTAAATGAATTCTCGTGCGATTTTTATTTCTAATGAAAAGTGCTGCACACTCCTAGTGTATTTTAATGTCACATTAAAATGTTTTGGGGTTATATGTAGTACAATAACCTTTCTAAATAGCATATCATAGTAAAAAGTCAGGTGTCGTCCTAATTGGCAACGATACAACGACGTACGATGACACGAAGCGTTCTTGTCGTGCGATGATTTTCAGACATACAGATTTCTTCAGAGGTGTTTTGATACAGCTCGTAAGCCGTCACATGAGCACAGGTACATTATTTTCATCGCACGATGATATCGCATCGCGCCATCGCACGATCGTTGCCAATAGGCTAGTTGACTCATGTCGAATTGTATTAAATAAATGTTTATCTATTAAAGTATTTGGTCTAAGGAACCTAAATATTTCGATTTCACTTCATAAAAGCAGAAGATTGCTGTAGAAATTTAATTTTAAAAAACAATTTTTAGTCTATAATTTTTATACACTAAAAACGCTGTTCGCTACATCCGCCATGATTGTGACGTCTCTTTGGCAGTAAACAACTAAATAGTATTATTAAAACTGATAACGCAAAAAACGCAAAAATACATTTTACTATGAGTCGATAAAGTTGTAGGATCCTTTTTAGCAAGTTCTAACCAGGTATTGCGTAGGTTAATTTCTTTTGGCACTTTAATCCACAACTTTCCTGGAGTCTTCAAGGGTGTGTTTTTACATTCTCGTACAATACAATAATGATAATTACTATATTTTTAGTGGTTACTGTTAGAAATCATGTTTTTTTTTATTATAAACTCAGATAGGTTATTTTGTACGTGCTTACGAGTTTTTGTTTACTACCGGTTGACGTCATAGCATAGATAATCTATAGACTAAAATGGCCGACAGCGTTTTTGTATGTCCATGAAAAGTGTATTTTCAAAATTAAAGATTTGTAGCTTTCTAGGTCTGAAAAAAATACAATACTTTTTTTCGGTCTAATAGAACATTTATTAACCATTTAAAACCTTTTTCCAAAAAGGGTCAACTAGCCTATTAGGACGACGCCTATCTATGCTCGTCCGACGGCTAAGGAGCTGTATTAGGACAACTCTAAAGAAATCTGTATGTTTGAAAATCATCGCACGACGTTGACGAAAACGCATCGTGTCATCGTACGATCGAAGCCAATTAGGACAACGCCTCATAGTAAAATCCTAATATTACTATTCATCATATTAAAATGTTTACATATCATACCTAGTTTTTTTTTTACATTTTTCTGTGTTATTAAAATAACTATGAATGTGCAGCACTTTTCGTTAGACAAACCAATCTTCGCACGAGAATTCATTTACTTGGATAGATTAAATGATAACAATGATGTTGTCACGAAATTTGTAT